CAACAGGAAGTTGTTGGGCGTTTTCGACAACTGCAGCAGTAGAAGGTATAAACAAGATCGTAACAGGAGAACTCATATCTTTGTCGGAACAAGAACTCGTCGACTGCGACAACTCCTACAATCAAGGTTGTAACGGAGGTTTAATGGACTACGCTTTCCAATTCATCATGAAAAAGGGCGGCTTAAACACCGAGAAAGATTATCCTTACCGTGGATCCAACGGAAAATGCAGTTCTTTCTTGGTAAACAAACAAAAGCAGAGCCACTCTGTTTTTTTTTTGTTTTTGCCTTATTTTGAGGAATTACAAAATTTAAAATTTGTGACTTTGTGTATTTGTAGAAGAATTCGAGAGTTGTGAGTATTGATGGGTACGAAGATGTTCCTACGAAAGACGAAACCGCGTTGAAGAAAGCAGTTTCATATCAGCCTGTGAGTGTTGCCATTGAAGCCGGTGGAAGAGTTTTCCAACATTACCAATCGGTGAGCAAACCGACCTTAAACCCGTTGCGGATTAACAACGATGATGATATGCGTAGTGTTGTTATTGTGTTACCATCCAAATTAAATATATATATGCATGTTATTGCTCTAATACAAAAAAATGGGTTTCGAATTTTTAGTAACCGGTTTAGTTTTTATGGTTGGCAGGGAATTTTTACCGGAAAATGCGGTACGAATATGGATCACGCGGTGGTGGCGGTCGGGTACGGGTCAGAGAACGGCGTTGATTATTGGATTGTACGAAACTCTTGGGGTCCACGTTGGGGTGAGGATGGTTACATTAGGATGGAAAGAAACTTGGCGGCTCGGTCCGGTAAGTGTGGAATTGCGATTGAAGCTTCGTACCCGGTTAAGTATAGCCCAAACCCGGTTCGTGGAATCAACAATGTTTGAAATCAACAATTCGGCGAAAGTAATGACATTTGGGATTTTTATAATTGAATTTGTTTGTATGTATAGTATCTGAAAGAAGTATTTGATTCACCATAAGGATTTAATCTTTGTAAATCCCTATGTCGATCAATTTCTTTTATATTTAAAGATGATTGCTTTGCTTGTTTAATGTATTAAGAAAAATATAATAATATGATATTTCTCAAAACCATTGGTTTCATGGATTCACCGTATCTATCAAAGTACGAAGAGAAGGATTTGAAAAAGAAAAACAATAAAATAACAAATCGTCTAAGTTTCCATTTTGTTCATTCATAAACTGCTTATTTCATTGCCAATAATGTGTATAACACAGTACAATGTGTTATATTTGAACCAGTAAACCAATAATATGATATATATTTCTTAAGAGCATTGGTCAACACGATCCATCTGCAAAAAGTGCCAAAACAACTTTATTCAACTATTTTTCCTTCCGATATCATAGCAACCAAAGCCTAAAAACCTTATCCAAACAAATTCGACTAAACAAGAACCGGAATCCGACTATAGAAGAACAAAAACCTAATCCTAACCACCTAAACGAGATTCGTAGAAGAAAGATACAAATCCGATCTAGATGAACAGGAATCACAC